AGACAATCATCCTGTTCCCAAGTACTGGGAAAATAACCACATTTTTAGTGATTTTCTGAAAAACTAAAAGGATGAGAGCAAATCTTCCTAAAATCTCTGGAAGGAAGATCATTCCAAAAAGGAATGAAGTGCCTTTTTGGCCACAATTTCTATTTGTTCTAATTGATTTAATCAGTTTAATAAATCAAATGAATACAAAGATTCTTATTAATTCAGCATCAATATTAATTAGCACCAAATATTCAGGTTTTTTAATAATTAACTTTTGTTTGACTGGATAGATCTACTGTTTTCATATTCCATCCAAAATCATGTTCCCTTGAACTGGGAACTTATAAGTTAAATACAAACTAATTTAGCTCATTATTCTCTAAAAATATTATTACAACATGTCCTCCAGTTCTGTTGGCTCAGGACCATAAGAACTGTACTCTAGAACCGTTGGAAGGGCATAAGGTTGAGGGAGGCTGGCCAAATATCACTTGCAGTACTGTTCTGCTACTCTTTGACTTGCTACCACAATTTTGGTCGTAAGTCATTGTGGTTCTTAAGCAAATTCTGAGGCACTTGCACTATGGGGCCCTTGGACCCAATCTGCCTGTAAACACCCCTTAGTGCAAACACTGTGTGCCAAAATCCCATTTGGCTTTCAGCACGGACCTTTGCAGTCAGTATCTTTGAGAGCAATAGGGTTGCTTACCAAAGATACTCCACCCTGCATGGGGTGAAATCCATCTGGCAGGCAGCCCTTCCACTCTCAAAGAGGCTGGCTAAATAAGTCTGTCCCAACACGGGTCTTTGGACTTTTTTTTCAGCCAACCCCTTAGGAACCAGAGGGAGTGGTGTCAGCAGCCAGCAGCAGCTTGCAACTTTCCCTGCTGTTTTTTCCATTGACTTTCTGGGGAAGTTGGCAGGGGAAATTTCAAGTGTCAATCATAATTGTGGGACTCTTGGAATAAGTTCAGGCAGGTTTCCAAGAACCCAGATTGCAATCATATGACTGCAGGGTGCTGTAATGGCTATAATTTCAGGCACTGGAAGTAAGCCCCTTTGTTCAGTGTTATCGTAAATGTGAACAGTTGCTGAATGGTTGTTAAGCAAGGACTAGCTATAATTATGTAGTGGCTTGGGTCATTCAACCCTTCTTAGGGAGTGACCTAAAATATTCAAAATACAAACAATGACATCTACCTCTCTACCAGTCTCTTTATATACTTAAATCTAATTCAATTTTTGGTCTTGTCATGTACAGCCTTATGCATTGTGTTGTTGCTTCCTGTGACAAGAAATGCCGCTGCAAAACCACTAAAGAGATCAAAATCTACCCTTAAAATTCTGCTTCAAAGTTCTGCACTTTTTGCTAGACAAAGAAACCAAGATGATGCATTTACCATAGATACTAATTTCCTATTAAATAATACACTCTTGCATATCTAAAGCCTGTTTGTTAGACTCCATCATGACATGGTAGTACAACTCCCCCTGAATTTAAGTTAGATAGATTGATTGATCGATCAATCAATAGATATGCTCACAATTAACTCAATGGATACATTTAACTGCAAGTGTATCACCTTTTAATACAGAAAAAGAGAAAGACCCCAGAAAGTGAAGGGAGGCTTCAGTATGGGCTTACTGGAATATACATGTCAGAAGTAAGTTATTGGTTCAACTAAATGTATCCTATCCATCATAATGTGTACATTTGTGTATTCAATGAATCCCAAGTTATCAGACTGCATTTCAATCTAGGGCAGTGCCACTGTTGGACTCTGCACTCTTTTAGGATCAAAACTGGTAGTTGCATGTAAGCAAGGGGTTGTACTACAGATTTATTGCTTCCATTGGGTAGCAACTTTATCACAAACAAGCACATGACACACACTTCCCTCTGCCAGAAATACTTTGATACTTCCGTAAGACAGATATCCATCTCATTATGTTTGTTATCTTCACTATGATCTATTCTGCCCAACGTCAGGGCATAGATTTATGTCCTGCAATTCATGCACAGGGTATTAAATTTGCCACAAACCCTGGCCCATTCTGATCCAACTAACATGAGGAATTGAGTTGCTCCCATATCAATGGCTTTTGTTTTCCAAATAAATCTGGCTGAGCACCATGCTGCCCTCCTTGAATAAAATCTGGAGAGAGCGATTTTGAACATGCTTGCAATGCTTTAAATGCAGCCCAAACTCCAAGCTCTCCTCAAAGAGTTGAGTAGAGTTTCCAATTAAACAGCCATCTGTATATATATATATCATGTTTATGTGGATGTTATGAATAAACTAATTGAATATACATATGCATATATTGAAAACAAATCAGCATGTTTGGAGAGAAAAGAGAGAACTGCTCCTCTATCGATACCACTGAACTAACCAACACTGCTTTTTCCTTTGGGAACTCAAGTGCTGTTGTCATTCCAGTTGGGAGTGGCTGTAGTTCTCTGATGGCTTTCCTGTAATACCCAACTGGATCCCACCTCCTACTATTCCAGCTCCTATCCATTACCAAGGGTAACTTTCTCTGAGCAAAGTCATTTTCAGACTCTACATGTAACATGTTTTTTGAAAAAAAGCCAATAGAAGTAGCAATAGCAATAGCACTTAGACTTATATACTGCTTCACAGTGCTTTTACAGCCCTTGCTAAGCAGTTTACAGAGTCAGCCTATTGCCCCCAACAATCTGGGTTCTCATTTTACCCACCTCAGAAGGATGGAAGGCTGAGTCAACCTTGAGCTGGTGAGATTTGAACTGCTGAATGGCAACTAGCTATCAGATGAAGTAGTCTGCAGTACTGTATTCTAACCACTGCGCCACCTCGGCTCAGTGTAACAGGTAGATCTTGGCACTTCTGCATTATAAGGAATCTGCTGGAGCCTTCTCACAGTGTTAGAAGCAGAATTCTTTGTTCTCAAAGATGTGCATGCTAGTTTGGTTCCCTCAAGGATAAATGGCAGATTGCACGTCTCCTTTGTAGAAAGACCTCTGTGAGCCATGAATAAGCTTTTAAACATGCTATGGAGGGGGAGCTACAATTATATTCTTCTTTCAGCATATGGATTTATCTACATAATTAAAGCCAAATTAAAATGTATTTGAGCAAACTGATTTTTTTCCTTGAAAGGCAGATTGAGAGAATGACATCAAATATGAAAGAATACAAGTTTTTATACCTGAAAATGTACGTGCATAGATACACACTTTCCGGTTTTGCATTTTAAGTTGCAGCATCTATTGTGGCATTTTAAAACTTTTAAATAAGTTTTAGCATATTTATTTCCATCCTGATGGTCCCTTGCTAAACTGAACTTGGTGGCCAATAATATATTGTACCGTGTTTCCCCGAAAATACCACCTGTCCTGAAACTAACGCCTTGCCACATTTTTTGCGTGGGCAAAAATATAAGCCCACCCCCAATGGTTGTGGGCTGCCTGCTGGAAGACTCTGTCCAGAAGACTCTCTGTCCGACAGCCAGCCCACAACCATAGAGCGCACACCTAGAGCAGCCGCTGCTGGAAGACTCGGCAGCCGAGTTTTGGAGTTTGGAAGCCAGAGAAGTTATGCTCGGAGCGTGGCAATGGCGGAACAGACACTCGCGCAACCCCCTTCTCCAGCCGGGCAGAGCTCCATGCACTGACCTACGGGGTATCCCGAATGTGCCAAGCCATGGGAGCTGGGGGGCATGCAGAGTGCCACGCCGCTTGGCACCTTAGGGATACCCCCTAGATCAGTGAATGGCGCTCTGCCTGGCTGGTGAGGGGGTTTGCCGGGCGGCTGCTCGTGAGCGTGGTCACCTCATGGTTGCTTCGCCCCTGAGACTATGCCCGGCTCTTCGGGAGCCAGTTCATAAGGGAGAAGCTGCCCGGCAACCGCAAAACAATAAGCCCTCCCTCTATAATAAGCCCAAGGCCCAATTTTGTTGGGCAAAAGAAAATAAGACCCTGTCTCATTTTCGGGGAATCACGGTACACAAAACACAGGTAGGTTTGCAGAACACATCTTGGATATTAATGCCATGAGGGGAGGTAAGGTTTCTTGACAAAAATCCTAAACAGGACAAATACAAGAACCTTTCCTCATCTGATGCTTTCTGAAAGGTTGGATTAGAAACAACTCTCCTTTTCTCCAACCAATAGTACCAAACTGGGGAAAAATTTTTCTAGACTCAAATAAGTTGATTACAACTCCAGGAATTCTCAACAATGATCATGCTGGCCAGGGGCTCTTGGAAGTTGAACATATATTTGGAAGGTTTCCAGGGTTTGTATAAGTTGATTAGGGCAAGTTAATCTTTTGGGGTAAAACAGATAAGATTCAATCTGAAATACAACCCCAGCATGAGAGCTGATATCTCTCACTGCCTTTAGAAGACCGTCAGGAGATGGCTCTGGCCAAAAGCAGGTTTCCCAGGCTCTATCCTGTAGAACTTTGGGAAAATTTAATGCCACCAAATGAACTATCTAAAACATTTATTACCAACAGTAATTAGCCCCAGCATGTTATATTCTAACTTTCCACATTATTAAAATAATGCTGTAGTTAGTTACCTTTCCAAAACAAGACAAAAATACATGCCTACTACAAGTATATATATATTTGAGTGTGTTATGAAGTTAGCAAAGCTTGAAGCTTTTCAGTTTTTTTTCTAGCTTATGAATAGCTAGAAAAAGCAGTAAAAGTTAGAAATACAGACAGTGCATTCTTGTAAGTGCTGGAATCCAATACAATTCTGATCTGTATGTAAAGAAAGATATTGTGTATACTGCAAACTAAATGCCTTCAGGATCACAACTATTTGAGGGCATTAGTTTCCCTACAGTATTGATAAAATTAGAAAACGTATTTGCAATTAATAACAAAACAGTCACAATTTAGCATTTACAACCCTGAAAACTCAGCAAAGTTAATAATTACTTTGGGGATTAAGGGGTGCCTTTTCAAGTCTGAAATTCTTACAGGGTTAATGAACATCTGCTAATAGATAACATCCACAAGGGTATTTTTTTTATTTGTTATTTTCTCTCTTTTACACACAAACAACCTAAATTTTAACCCTTTTAGTTTCTGAAATGCATTAAAAGAAACATTCATTTGCTTCTATGCACGTGATATTTGGTGAAGATTGTTATAGTTATCCAATTTCATTTTGTAATTTTATGCACGGAACTAGAAATATTATTCACCAGATCCTTCCCTACTTATATACTACTAAAACTTTCACTGTGTTTATTTGTTAGCCCAAATGATGCATTATACAAGTTTTTAAATCAGGGTACCTAAATCTATTAACTTAAAGAAGTGTAAAATAATCCAGAGCCCATTACTCCAGTGGAATTGAAATTTCCATGATTTCAAACCATTTTATTGCTGAATTACCCGCAGTCACATGATCATGATTTCTGTCTTTCTGCCAGCTTTCTATGAGCAAAGTCAATGGGGAAGATGGCAGGAAGTCAAAAGTTATTCCTGTTTTTTGCCTTCCTGTGGTCATTAAGTCTATCTGTTTAGGTAAGTAAATATTCAAATAAGTTCATTTGTAATTACAATTATTTTTATATTTTCTTCTTAAATGACCATGTAGCCATCCCATATCGGGATAAAAAATATACAATCAAGCTAAAATTTAATACTTATTCTAGCCATACAAGTTTGTACTACCTTTCTCTCAAAGGATGACACAAGTCACATATTATCTAGTGACATATATAACCCCATTGTACGTAAGGAAGCTGCATTGATTCTTTTTGTAGGGGGGGGGTGTTTACTCTTGGGGAAGTGAGCATAGACTGCAACCTGTACAGCAAATCCTCAGTTCAATGGCTCTCAGTTTGATAAGTTTTAGATACAATGGAAAGTGGTTTCAATCCTTGAGAATGGCAATTTTGCTGCAAGTGATTGCATTCACATCATTTCTAATATTGTAGATTACCTAAATGATAAATTAGGTACCAATGGCCACCATAAATGAAATCAATTTAGGTATCAACAGCCACTGTTTTTGCTCAAAAGGCCTGTTAGAGCAAGGTTTCTACTGTACTTTCATAATCGGCAAAATCTAGAGATTAAAATATAAAGAGAATACAGTAAATGCAAAGATGGAGCATTCAGAGAACAAACACTGAAAGTATTTAGAATATGTTGTACAAATGATAGCTCATTTCTAAGGGTGGGGGGGAGAGAATGTTTTAACACAATGTTTCAGATGCATGATCCAATGCAGAGAGAGGCTGGTTGCTGGCATTAACAAGCTGGTTCCATATGAATATGAAGTTCGAAAGACAGTGTCCATTAATTGGAGCCTGAAGGAGAATATCTGGCCAACACTCTTCTAAATCATAAAACAGAATACTAGATTTGTCCCAACCCGAACCTTACAGTTTTCTTTATTGACGTCTTCCCTGCGACCTCCAAATTCAAATTGTGCTTCATGAAAAGAAGATTTTGGCATTACAATCTTCAACAAAGATTCAGAATGACCCACAGCTGCTAGGTTCTTACAAAGTTGGCCGTCTGTTCGAACGAAGGCAGTGGTGGTTCAATCCATTTCTGAAAGCAACAAATACATGTGTCACAATGTGTTCTACAGTATTGGATGAATTAGCAAGCAAAGGGGCCAAGAGAGAAAAAGGAGGGGGAAGGGAGAGAAGTCACCATGACCTGAACTGCTCTGAGAAGAAGAGAGTTTATGGAAAATTGTGCTTTAAAACCAAGCCCTCATATTATGGAGGCGTTGTCTAAAAAGTCTTTTTTTTTCTCAGCTGTGTTTCTGAACTTTTGTGTGAATGTGTGTGTTTGTGCATTTTAATCCCTGCTTGATTTTTGCTTCTCACTTTTCCCTCTCCAAACCCTAAAAAACTGTAGTTTTCCTCACTAGTGGATCATTTCTACTCTGTCCATTTCAAATTCAGATCCTAAATTCTATACAATTCTAATTCCATAATTCAGTACTGAATTATATACAGTCTTCTTTCTATCCAGCAAGATTTATCTCAAAACCCATCTTTGTTATTGCATCTCTAGCTGAATTCTCTAACTATTCAACTACTCCAGATTCTCTTTTTCTCCCCACTTTGTTGCCTCCCCTACAGTTGAAACTTCAATTGTTGTTCGAAAGTGCTATTATAAATTGTAATATACAAATTAAGGAGCACATGATCTACAGGCAGTATTTACTGATTTATAGTCTCTATTCAGACACTCCTCTCATATGAATAATAATATGGAAAGCTGAAACTAAACTCCAGAGTTTTCCTGACCCTCCCAAAAAACCATTCATGGTGGGAGATATAGAATAGGATTCTCCACGCTTTGGGAGACCAGCAGATTACATTCCACATGTTGAAAGCATAATATGGACTCAAATAAAGTGCCTGTCACTGTGGATGTGATGAGTTACAGGCCACATTTTTTCAGAAGACAAACTGATGATTTTGTTGCCTGACATCCATTCTTCCCTTCCACAAGATACTCAAAGTTTGCTTTTGTCTTTTTGGAAGAGAAGTTGGCACATTTCCAGGTTCTGGGCTGTTCTCACCAAACTTTTTTTCCATTTTCTAAAAAAGAGTAACGGGCATTTTTGAAAATAAAAATCACTAGAGGCAAGTGATTTGTTTTGTAGCATGGAAGCTTTTTCTTTTCTTCAAAAAACAATGATTAAAAATTTATTTTTTAGAGAGTCTAACGAGTATTAAAAGGAAATGAGTATAACACAAAGGCACTAATGCAAAGCTCTTCTTCCCTGTGTCTCCTTGTTCACATGTTCGCATCACTGGCAAAATCTGCATACACATAACGAATACGCCTACAAATATTGCCTTACTAAACACACATTAAGCTAGGATGAAGGGATGGCTGGACCAGTGCAATTGTTAAATATGAGAAGGGAATGCCGGCATAGAACTTTAAATCTATCTAGGAAACAATGGGCAAACAGTCAAAATTGCTGTTTAGATTTCCATCCAAACTATAATCAGCCAAAATTAGTATCTCAATGGAACACAAATTACATTGTCACTCTTATAGGAATTGGATAACTTTGATTTCTCTTCATTCAGCATGACAGAAAATAATCACAAACAATATAAAGAAATGTCTTCAGATAGCTTACGATCCTGTTCTCATTCCTCTTCCCTATTATTATTTTTAAAAAGAGCAGCAGATAATCTAATAATATTATTTTTGTTCACTTCCCCATTGTTTTGTTTAAATACATTTCTTATGCAGTAGTTTAACAAAAATAAGGCCAAGTTAACAGAAACGTTAACAAGAAATGCAAAACCACTCACCAGAATGCACTGCAGGCAGATGACTATCTGTATCTCCAAATTCTGAGCTTCCATCTTGACCTCCAGGTTCCCAAGATTCACTGTTCTCAGAAACTTCAGAAAAAGTATCAAAAGTTCCTTTCTGAGTATTGGCTGGATCACCAACACTTGGGGACTGACTATCGCTACTTGCATCAGATATTGCTTTGCTTTCTTCCCCTAGCCTCTCAGCAAACCACAATTTAACCTGCGAAGTGGTCATCTGAGTTCTTTCACAGAGATCTTGGAGATCATCTTCAAACAGAACCTTGTTCTTTTGAAAATAGTCTTGGAGCACCTCCTGGCTGATCTCACAGGAAATCAGTAGCTCTTTGGGGAAAATGCCTTTTTTGTAGTTTTCATACCACCTCAGATTTCCATTTTTAAATCCATAGCGGCTATCTCCAAACCAGCGAATTACTTCAACTCTGGGAAGTCCAGTCTGACAACATATTTGGTCATACTGTTCATTAGTAGGACGCTGTGTCTTTACAAACAGCAGTTTAAGCAAATGCCTCTGCTGAGCAGTCTTTTTAAAGCAGAGCCTAGGTTTTTGTGCCCTGCTAGGAAAACTCTCTGTTGTTGCTTGGGCACTCGACGCGGCCAACTCACTTTTCCCCTCTGATTCTGTCACCTTAAAGTTTCTAAGGTTGATTTTTATTGGGGTCACTTTACGTTCACCTGGAAGTTGAGAACTTCCAGCTTCATCCAAGGAACCGTTTTCACTTGACACTCTGAAGTCATCCAAATCCTCCTCCTCTTCTACAGACTCATCCTCAGCATCTTCATCTGCTGGCTGTTTTTTTTCTTTCTCCGCTTTTTTTTTCCTTTGCTCCGAGAACCAGCTGTCAATCTCTCTCCTTGTCATTTTAGTTTCGCTTCTCAGGCGGTCTACTTCCTCCTCTGAAGGGAAGGGGTTTTGTGCAAAGCTGCTTTCCAAAGCTCTGAGTTGTTCTGGGGCCCTCTCCTTATATTTTGCAATGGAGAAATCAGGGGTCTGATGCCAGGATTGCCGACGTGCTGGTGTGTGAACAGGTGTTGCTGATGTGGAAGTTAACTCTGTGGTTGTTTTGGGTGAAGTGGTAAAAGTGATTTCGGGTACAGAGTCTATTATTATTGTGCTATCCCCACCAAGCACAGATTTGTTGCCTCTAATATTTTTCCAGTGATACCTCCTATCACTAAACCACTTCCGAACTTCCCTGGTACTAAGTCCTGTGATATTTGTCAGACGCTCAACTTCAGTTTGGGCAGGGAACTGATTCCTACAAAAACTATCTTTCAGTGCAGACAACTGTTGGTAAGACTTCTTATTTTTTAATAAGTTAGGATCCAAGAACGCTTGTGTAGAGATGTTTGGGCAAGCAGAAAGTTGTGACTGAGCAGCACTAACTACATTCACAGTTGATGCAATACTGGAAACTGACACAGTGGTTGGAGGTTTAGCTACCTGGGTCTTTGGAATGGAGGTTAAACCTATTGCATGAGATGAAGTTGCTCCCTGAAGTCCATTTGTTGTTATTGGTTGGGTTACCAGCATGCCACTTGCTCCTTCAGGCTTTCCAACTGAATGACCAGGCAAACTGGCCTGAATCAGATGCTGAACACTATTAGGGCTTGCAACTAAAGGTGTATTCAACACTGTAATAGTGGATTGGGGAACAGACTGAATCACAGTGTTAAACATTTTTTTCCGTGCATCTTCTATCTCCTCAGGTGACCAGCTAATACCCTGTTTCAACCTCTGGGCTGTAAACCAGATTTTCAGCTGCTCTTCTGGATACTTGGTCACCACAGTCAAGTAGCAAAGTTCAGCTTTGGTAGGGTAGGGAAACTTATGAAAAGAGTTCTTAAGAAAACTGTTAGAATCCATTGCTGCATTGTATGTTGGAATACTACTCAAGGGAATCATTACCTTAGGGAGGGATTTTGATGTTGGTAGGTGCTGGTGAACTTGTGCTTGCTGTTGCAGTTGCACAAGTTGTGTTATGCCTGCTTGCAAAATAGGTACATTTCCAACTACTGACCCATTGACAATGGTGGTTGATTTGCCGGACTGGCTAACCAGCAGAGCTCCATTGGTAAATGACAGTTCACCTTTTGTCTCTACATCCTTGACTGACTTACTAGACATATTTTCTTTGATTGTATGGATTTTTTTAACTTCTGGTTTTGTTTTCATTATCTTCATAATGGGAGTTTTGGTAATAATAATTTCAGCTTGACTCTCCTGACTCTCCTCAGGAATATCCCCCAAGTGGTCCTGACTACCATTTCCAGTAGTCTGTTCCACAATCACGCGGTTAGCTTGTTTCACCACATTGCAGATTAAGTTCGTTTCTCCAACATGGTGCTCTGCATTGTGATGAGAAAGATCACCATGGCTCTTTACCAAGACATTACATTTCACACACAAAAAGGAAGGGTCTTTACTAAAGTCTATGTGCTCAGAATCAAGGTGACTAAGGAACTGATTAGTTTCTTGAGTAGTGAAATTGCAACCTATACATCTATAAGAAGTGCTGTCTATAATTCCATTGTGTCCATTGGACAAGGTCCCACTCCCGTGATTATCAACAGTGGTATCACAATTAGGCAGAGTACTAGGAACCAATGTTTGATGAGTTCCTTCATGATTTACTCCAACAGAAGTGGATTTCTGTGGTGCCAACATTTTTGCTGGTATCATGCAAGGTGTTGTGGATTTCCTTTTGCTGGCCATTATTGCAACCAGTGAGTACAATCAAAGCTTAGGAGGCAAATATTATTTTTTGAATAAAGTTTGCAAGGTAAATTTGAGCAAATCCATGATCCCAGATATATGTAGGTCAAGAAATGGAACAACCTTTTGTGTCTGCCATTGAATCTAAAAAACAAAAGGAACAGTACGTTAACGAAAGACTATGAAATCCTTATACCAGTATAATCATAGAGCTTTTATTTCTCAGCTATATAAGAAGATATAGTATCAATTTGCTTTTCTAGAATTCAAATCAGAACGGAATACAAAATAAATTGCCGAACCACATGCAAATAATGATACCTTAGCATGTTGCTTGAGCAATACTCTAATTTGCAGGCACTGTTTATATGTTAGCATTATCAGTCATAATCTAACATCCAAATGGAAATTGATTTGTACCCACACTACACTTTAATAAAACAAGCATGACGCAATATGTTATCTTTAGAACATTGTACTGGTGGCTCTTCTAAGTGGAGCCCTGTTGTGGTGAAGTGGTCCAGACTGTCAGATGCATGTCCCATAGACCAAAGACTTCATCAAAGCACATTTCTGTGCCCCCAGTAGGATCCTCCTAATGAAGGATGCTTACCTTGGCACATAGCAAAAGGAGATTCCTTCAGCCCCCAGCTCCCATCCCTTCGGTAGAAGAAAGATCTTTGCCTTTACAATCCAAGAAATAAGCCATGTACCAGAGCTTTGAAACAGAACTAAGAAATATTAAACTAATACGTTCTGATCTATACAAATCTGAAAGATCCAGAAAGGCAAGCAATAAATGTTCAAGAATCTGTTTATTTCCAAAGAATGGGCATTATGTTTGAACTAGAAATGTTGCATAAGATTAATTTTAATTGGGAACACATATCTGTAAGTTTTATGTCTCCACTATCCCCCGTATGTATTTCCCTGATAGATGCTTAGCAATTGTGTGTCTTAGGTAATTGTCCAACAGTCTACTCAGAATTGTAGGTTTTTCCATTAGCAATTCTCTTGAGATCCTGTCTATGATTCTCACTGCCCTCTGCTTTTATTTCCTCCATGAGATTGTTTTGCACATAACTAAAGTTTTTTTTTTTAAAGAATGTTAACTTTTTTGTTTTTCCTCAAAAATATAGTTAATTTGTCAATATTTTATGAGATTGTTCATAAAAGAAAACAGGCTGATTTCCTCATGCCACAAGGTCAGAAGATGGCACTATAAAAAATATTTCATTTTTGTTAGATTTTTTTTCTTCCTTTGCCAATAAGGCAAAGGTGAAGTATAGAGGTTGCTAGTTCTCAATTTATTTCAGATACCAGAAGAACAATGTAAAGCATCCCCCAGAAGATATGTGGTCGCAACAATAACTACAAAGCTATTAAAAGACACAAGTGGAATCAATGTGGGGTGCTCTGGCAATAGAGGCTTAAAATTGTTTAATGACGCGCAATTAGGAAAGGGGAGATTGTAGACTGCATGAAATGAACCATCCAGCAATCAAAAATGAGTGGGAGCAGGAGAAAGGAAAAAGAGTCATAGAAGTTATAGAATAACAAAGTTGGAAGGGATCTTTGACGTCTTCTAGTTCAACCCCCTTTTCGAGCAGACCTTATTCTACTCTGTACAAATGGTTGTCTAATGTCTTCTTTAAAATCTCTAGTAATGGAGCATCCACAACTTCTGGTGGCAAACTGCTCCACTGATTAATTGTTCTGTCTGGAAATTTCTCCTTAATTCTAGGCTGGATCTCTCTTTAATAATCTTCTATCCATTACCTCTTGTCCTGCTCTGGAGAATAGGTCGACTTCTGTCAGAGTTTGTTGCAAAAATCAAATCCAGAAAGCGCACACAAATAACTGATTCAGCAGGATTGATTTAAATAAGAAACTTCTTTATATACAAGAATACACACACACACACACAAACACACACATACACACACACACAGAGAGAGAGAGAGAGAGAGAGAGAGAGAGAGAGAGAGAGAGAAAACCAATAGCAGAGAACTTAGTTCAGATCAGCAGACAAGTCCAGACTAGTTTCGTTTCTCAGCACAGACTCAGAGCCACGCCCAGACTTCTTACTTAAGTTTCTGATTCCAAATAAGCTTCATTGGCTTTAACCATGCCTATTCATTGGCTGACCTTGTCATCATGTCTCTGCCAGTTCAAGAATATTCTGGCAACCTCCTCCTCTTTGTGGCAGTTCCTAATGGAAGACCACTATCACACCACCTCTAGACCTTCTCTTTGCTAGACTAGACATTCCTAGTTCCATTCATCATTCTGTTTAGCCTCCAGACTCCCAATCATCTTTGCACTGTTTTGAGTCTCAATATCCTTTTTGTATTAGTATGACCAGAACTGGATGCAGTATTCCAAGTATGGTCTTATTGGGGCAGTATAGTAGGGTCGACTTACAACCATTCAATTAGTGACTGTTCAAAGTTACAATGGCAATAAAACAAGGGACTTGTTACTATTTCTCACATGACTGTTGTAGCACCCCCATGGTCACAATAAGCGCCTTTAAATTGAAATAAACACAGACACACACACCAAATAATCTATGACTAAACTTCAAGGGGGTCTACTCCTTATTGCTGGCAGACCATTTATTTATTTAATTTATTGGTCATCCACTTCCCAAACAACTTTGGGAGGCTTTTACGAATCAGTCTCTCCCTCTCCCTCCCTGCCTATCAATCCTTTTATTGATACAAAAGATATAATGTCTCAGTGGAGCAGTGTAATGTCCCATTTAAAAAAGGCCTCAAATGCAAACAGGAAGGGTGTTTTTTTTAAAGAACAACTTCAATTATATATCTCATAAACTGGGATTACTGCTCCAATGAATGTTCCTTAAATTCATTAATCTTCTCAAAAAGACTCTCACAATTAAAAGTAATGACAAGTATATCACCTATAGACCAAATACCAGGGAAACTCAAGTCCGATGCAGTTAAATTACTAGACAAGTTTAATCTGACATTTTTTAACTGCCTGACCTTATTCCCTCAGAGTTAATGTTTGCTAGGCCCTTGCATGTAAAGTTAGCTTGAACTGAAGCACAGCGGCCACATATCAAAGTGTAATCGAAAGGACTGTTTGTACATTTCTGTTTCCCTTAGAACAGTTATACAATCGCAATCAAAAACCTGGCCCAGCAACTTGAGTTGTGTCCTGATCAGACCAATCATCACTGAATGTTTTTGATTAACAGGCAAATGGAGCTTCTGAATTTGCATAGTTGCAAGAGAACTATGCAATCTTACAGTTTCACAGCACAATAGACTACAGTTATTAAAACATAGGATTGATTTACTCTAACATGACAACATGAAGTTGCTATACAGCAATGGAGACTATTGGTTAATCTAACTTTAGTGTGATGAATCTGAGAAACATAGGGCTGGAGGAAACCACAATATTTCGTGATAGCAAACCTATGGCACGTGTGCCACAGGTGGCACATGGAGCCATATTTGTTGGCACGCCACCTGTCACCTCTGGCATGCATGTGTGTACCGGCAAGATGATTTCCAGCCTTCTGGAGGGCCAGGGAATGCCGTTTTTGCCCTCCTCAGGCTTCAGGAAAGCCTCCGGAGGCCAGGAAGAGGTCGTGCACGCATGTGCGGGAGGGGGAATCATGCCTACATGTGAAGGTGGGAGGGGAGGATTGATCTGGTGTAGGCACGCATGCGCAATAGCGCGCACAAACAATTTTGGCACGCCATAAAAAAAGGTTCGCCATCACTGTGCTAGTATAACGATTAGAGTGTTGAATAAGAATTGCTCAAATCCGAGGTTCAAGTTGAACTCAGTCAGGAAATTCAGTGGTTACCTTTGGCTGCATGTACACTATTTTAAATTATTTTTATTTGCTTTCCTTGGCAATTAAAAGCGTGCTTTAAAGCTGTCTAGCTTTAAATATTTTAAACAAAATGATTATGTTCTTTAATCTTTCAGTATATACATCTGTGCCAGATACATACAATATATACCATTTTGCAATATTCCCATATAAAACACACTATTCTTTAGCTTTACTTCAAGCAATGTAATATTGAAATTGAAAGTTACAGTAAAAGTTCCATTTAATGGTACATCTTTTTTAGCAGATGTTAATGATAATATTCATGTTTTAGGACTCAGGTTTCAGTACTTCTATCTTTATTTCTGTTCTGGAGAGGTTTAATCCTTGTCTCCAAGCACAGAGTAACCAAAGCCTGTTAAAATAAGAGTCAATTTCAAATCAAAATAATGGATTTATTCAAGGGAATATCACATTCTATGTGTTACATTCATTAGGATGCCAACAGTGCAAGGATCAAGCAGTTGCTTTTCATTCCACTCAATTTGAACTTGCAAGAAAAAAATAATTAGCATGTCTCCTAAGCTCCAGTTTCAGAAAATGTTTCATACAACCCTTATTGAGATTTGTGATGCATTCATTGCTCTTGTTCTTTGTTTGTCTTTCAGAAAAGGGAAACGATTTAGATAAGTATATCTTCCTTCCTCACCCACTCGCTCCCCCCAAAAAAGAAATAGGAACTACCTAACTGGAATTGTACTCTATATCAGGGATTCCCACCCCCAGTCTATGGACTGGCATCAGTCCGTGGCATACCAGAAATTGGGCTGCGCAAACAAGCAAAGTCCCATTTGTGGGATGCAGGCAACATGTGAAATCATGCCCCTTCCATTCCATGCAAAATCCTCTCTCCGAGGAACTGCTCCCTGGTGCCCAAAAGGTTGGGGGCCTCTGCTTTATAATCATTATTCTATGTCATTTCAGGAGAATGCATTTTTTATTATACTGATAAATTGCTGCATGCATGGCTGTGTTGACTGACAAATCCACTTAGGGGAGGCCACAGGTTTCTCAGCCTCTGATTTCTGTTTGTAATATGTGGTGGTAATAATACTATTTCTTACAGCATTATTTCTTATAGTAGCCATCCTGAACTTCAATGAACTTGAATATTTGTCAATGGAATTGAATATTCTTCTCACCTCTGGCCATTCTAACAAATATGAATGATATCATGAAGACACTACTAACCTGAATGCCTTCTAAATATTATTTAAATACATGGAAATAGTTTCTAGCACTAAAGAAAAATCCTTTGAAATCTCTATGCCAGCTAAAATGTGTTTACATGTGACTCCATTGTGCAAACTCTGGCCCCGAATCAATTTCAAATTAACACTGGTATCAGTGTTTTCCTCATTTATTATCCAGTTGTGCTTTGTAGATGGCATCCAATTTTAAAAATGCTTAATTGGCTTATACTGAAAGAGAATACAGCATTCACGTTTATTTTTCAAATCGGTGTTGAATTGTATTTTATTTTTGTGCCTTCAAGTCAGTGTTGATGTCTGGTGACTTGACTGACAAGTCCCTGCAGTTTTCTCAGCAAGATATCAGAAGTGGCTTATTTGTTTCTTAGGGCCGAGAGAGAAGAATTGGCCCAAGAACATCCAATTGGCTTAGTGCCTACTAAGGTGGAATTAGAATTCAAGTGTCCTGATTTATAGCCTGGTGCCTTAAACCATACACCAAACTCACTTTCAAATGATCAGTTTGACTAAATCCATTTAACAGAGCTCTTTAGCAGTGTATTTTGTGTCTGAAATTTAGTTCTATCAGGCCTCAGGCCTCCCAACTATTCAAAAGCAAAAGTAACTTTTGCAAACATTTTTGATTGAGCCAGTTCTATAAAATGATGTTATCTTTCTCTGCAATATAATCTGAGAGGTTATTTCAGCCTGTCTTATCCCATCCAACAAAGCCTACATATTAAACTGTGGAATACACTCAGTTTGTAAGTTTAGTTGGTGACCTATTAATGTACTTTGAATTTGATTTTGAATACATGCACGATTTGCTGTTCCTCTATGCCACCAGTGGGTTGAAAATGTATCAAACCCAACGTAAGAAAAAACATTGAGCTGTCAAATGAAGGTAAACTTTCCTCTTTATTTTCCTTAGAGCCTTTTATCAAGTTTCCCCACCCGCTCCTACAACCTGCAGGTCCACAGCTATGTGTTCATTGAATCACTGAACTGGCTCATTCTTATAACAAAACAAACTGTACCACACTGAGAAAGGAGCTGGCAGAGCTTTAACAAAAGATTCTCTTTCTACTTTTGGCAATATTTCTAGAGCCAAGGATACAAAATGTCAAGGGAGGTCAAGTCAAGTCAAGCAGCAGGTATAAACTTCAAAAGGTAGTGAGCAGAGGTAAATGACAGCCCTCAATACACTTTTTGAACAATAAAACTGAAAGGAAATCTATGGTTTGTGGGCATAATACTTCCTGATTTGTGAATGGTTGTAGAAACCTCAGTTTTCTTCAAGTATTGGTAGGAATGGGAAGGGAAAAATCATTTCTACCAAGAAAATAACATGGACACATCGAGGTTGTCACAAAGACTTCTCATTTCATCATTTTTGACAGAATGATTCAGAAAACTCTTTCCTGCTAATGTGCTGTTACAACATCCCTAGAACTTATAAATTGTGGCAATTGAGTAATTTCAAGTCGGACTCTTCCAATATTGCAGAATTACAGGTACTCCTCAACTTACAACAGTTCATTCAAAGTTAAAACGGCACTGAAAAAATTATGACCACTTTTCAGAGTTATGACTTTTGCAGCATCCTCATGATCATGTAATTAAAATTCAGATGCTTGGCAACTGGTTGATATTTCTGATCGCTGCTGTGTCCCATGGTCATGTGATCACTTTTGGTACATTTTGACAAGCAAAGTCAATGGGGAAGCCAGAATCACTTAAGAGCAGAGTTACTAACTAATCAGTTGCAGTGATCACTTAACAACTGTGGCAAGAAAGGTCATAAAATGGGGCAAAACTCATTTAACTAATGTCTCAGTTAACAACAGAAATGTTGAGCTTAGTTGTGGTCATAAGTCAAAGACTATCTGTGCATCTTTCAAAATCCTTAGGAAGCTTAGAAAGAACCAAATTAAAAAAAGCTGGGTTTTCCCCAATTACTATCAGCAAAAATAAAGTCCATGCCATGCCAATGTTTATAAGAAATATACTTAACTTCTATTTACTGAAACCTAAGAAAAGAAAGATGATCAGGACTACGCTATTTTTCTTCAGCATATGAAACTCAGAAGAAACTCATTAGCTTCCTGATTTGTTCAAGAGCTTAAAAATTGGTCTTTTATCATAGTTATTTTTCTGATTTCTCCCCCAATCCCCTCTAAGGTTAGAATGCATCTACAAGGGGTTCTCCAAATGGTAAAAACACCCCCAGAAGGTGTACCTAAACAAATAAATATGCAAGTCAATAAGCGGGAAAAGAATCCGAAACTGCTTGACTAAAATATTATTTCTCAAAGTGAAACTTAAAAGTTCTCTTCATTAAACTCAGCAATGAGTCCCTATGGAGACTGGATGTATACAAATAAAGAAAATAAGAAATAGCTAAACAACAAACTCTACCGAATTCTTCATTTCTTGCTTTGTGGCTATCAGTTTCCATGCTGCTTTACATATTGTGCTATGATATGGTTCACTAAATAAGCCAAAGCTGACTGAATACACATCATTATTAGACAAACAATAAAAAAATATATAATAGAAAGATTATAGAAAGTTACCAGATAATATAATAGAAAGATTATAGAAAGTTACCAATCAGGGACAGTTCATCAGGGGAAGGCATATATACCCAAACATGTAAGTTATCTCAATCTAAGTATATCTGTTTTAAAAGGCAGGAAATCTAAGTGGGACTTGAAGTTCATTTAATTTTTGTTGAAAAATCTAAGGGAAATGGATGCTTATTAATTTTAAGCAAAAAGTTATTTTAATATAACATTTTATTGTAAGAGTTTGGTAAAGTCTGCTTAATGTTAATTTTGTTGCTGATAACTATATGGACACATAATTTTCTTGGAAATAATAGAGACGTATTTTGCTTTTGGCAGGTCAGTGGAAGTCAAATTAAGGGCTACTAACTTCTTTAACAAAGATTTACTGCATCTCTAAATCTTTTTTTTTAAATCCCCTCAAGAGAAAAAAACGGCTAAAACTCTTCCACTTTCTTCTATCACATTATTGTTCCATCTTACTACAATTGCAACAAGAACAATGGCAAAGCAAAACATCTCTCAGAATCTTGAGTTCAGAATAATGCACATGAAGTACTTACTATGCAGGTTATTAGCATTACAAGATAATGAATGAAAAGAGCATATATTTTTCTAGAACTGTGTCACTCAATCTTCACAACTTTAAAGTGTTGAGAACTTCAATTCACTGTTCCCTTCTTCATCGAATGCTTAAATGGGGACGTTTGAGTTCAATTGCTTAATGCACAGAATTTTGAAATAGGTACTATTGTTATTACTTAGGAATAATTTCCCCTAAATAGGAAGGTGCTTTACTAAGTCAGACCATTATATCAACATAACACTCTATACTGTACACGCTAATAATGACTTTCTAGAGATTTGGGCATGGATTTAAGCACGCCTGCCAGTGACGAAACCTATGAATGTAGGTTGTGTGCAAACATTCCATTAGTGATGGAGAGTTTTCTTCTCTAAAAAAAGATATTGTGCTTATTCAAACTGAAAAATCTCAGTTTAGAGCAAAGTAGCAAGAAAGCTACATGAATAATTTCAAAGTTATGTCAGTTTGTTGGTAAAGCACTGAACAATGCCAACATGTGGATTTTTATGGAACACTAAGAATAAACTAGCAAGATGGCAGAGGCAATACACTTGATGAGCAAGAGTGACATAGGCCTACCTGAATAGATATCAGGCTATTCAAGTGCCTACCTCGAGACAGAGGCTGAGGTGCCCTATTATTTCACCCCTATTTACCCTTAGTCTACAAAGGAATTAAAATTACCATGAGTATCTGCTGCTTGCTGATTTCAACCGCTGCTTTTGATTTTGCCATTATCTTTATTAAGTTTTGTGATTTAAAGCTTTTTATATACCACCTTGATTTTAAAAATATGCATTGGATAATTTAAATAAAGTACACAAGCAATGAAAAGTTTATAGGCTAAGAAGAAATGATGGCCCCTTCCAAAACAGAAAGTAGCAAGGATGCAGCATCTTGTGATCCAGAAACATTTTTTTTAGTTCAATGCAATTGTCTCTCCGATGAATATGTGCAGAGATATATAGCCTCATTGCTAAAACTCCTACTGATGTTGAAAGAAAAGTGTCTGTAGTTGCTAACTAAAGAATAACGTTGGACTTTATCAGAAAGATAAGTCTAAAACTGTGGTAGAACTATTGACAAAAACCCTTTGAAGCTACCAGTTTGGCTTTAAAAGGAGAGAAACAGCTAACAGATGTCACCTACTTAAATGTATTCTCCCCCTAGAGTCTTAATAGTGATTAAAGTGGCACCAAGAACATCAGTATAATAATATTTTAACCAGCTAAGTATAAATAAATGAAAAGGGAGAAATAGGAGAGTTTTTTCACTTATCAGTTTTTTTAAATATATACATATAGTGAAATATAACAGCATTTTAAAAAATCCACAAATAAAAGCTGAAATGCATTATACAATTATATACCATATACTGTATATATTTCTATCACAAAATTATGATGATCTTTTGAAGGAGAGAACAAAGCATCACATTAAAAAAAACCAGTAAAAAGGAAAATGTGATACCTGAAAAAATAAATGATTTCTCAGTCTAATACTTTTCAAATTCTCTTTTTTTCCTTTTAGGCATCATAAGATCTTTTGTGTCTTGTCAGCTGCATTCCAAATTCAGCCCTGAAAACATTAAGAAACTTCATTTTAATATAGAAATTATTAGTACTATTTCAAAGGAAAGTAACAATTTATTTTTATTTAAAGATAAACACCAGAGTTTATTGTATATGTATATGTTGTATATCAGAATTTATTGTATATGTATCTATAATTATCAATTTAAAATTAATTTAGTCTTCCTCCCATTTTGATAAACATCATTGTATTTCTGTATTGGTTTTTTAAAAAAATGGCAAAGACTCAAAACATTTCTTCTCATAATCAGATTTATGTTAATCATTTTTATATCATACATTTTGATTCAAGCTTTCTTTGAATGTACTTTTTCTACACACTTCCTTAATATACATTTTTCTGAAATATATACAGAATGTATGTATCTTTATATACATATTCTCTGCTCTAAAAATATCGTCTTAAAATTCAGAAAGGTCGGAATACAAGTTATTTATATTTTAGTTCACAAATTGACTGAGGTGATAATAGCTAGATAAATCTAAAAACTAAAATGTGACCCCAATTATTTTCTTTCCCATTTCTGTTTGAAATCAGCCTTACCCCAGCATTGTTATAACTCCTTAATGAACTCATCTGTGGGATAATTTGAAACACACAAATAACTTTTCTAGAAATATAACAGAGCATTCTGTCTTTATCTCGGAATTCATGAGATAGAAACGAACCATCTTGATTCAAGGTAAGTTCTGAATAATAATCCAATAATGCTCTTTTTTTGTATTGCTTACCTAGATGCCACTTTCCTTTATATTTTTATCTACTTCCTTCCTCCTTTCTTTCTATTTTCTGCATCATTTTGCCATCATGTTTTTCCTCCCTACTTTGTTCCCAAACTATGGGAACTGGAGATTAGTTTCCAAAGCATATATAGTATGGAAAGAACTACCTGCAAGTGACAAGTAGACATAGATGCAACAGCAGTTAATATAAAATCCATTGGACCTCTATTGAATTCCTATAATCTTAATACTTTGTACACCTCATGACATGCAAGCATCTTGCTCTTCTCCTGTGACTAAATATTACCAAATGCTGAACAAATAAAGAGAAGAAGCTTTTTCAGTTTTGACAGGACAGTGTGGGAATGGAAAGATTTCTGCAAGGGATATAAATCCTTCCATTCCCCTGTCAGAACTGAAGAAGCTTCTTGGATGAGAAGCGCAACGTCTTCAAAAGAAAAAACAAGGAAGTCTAGTTGCCTCCTGAAAAAGCACCTTTGGGACTATGGCTATCTGGTGAGTTAAAAACGTTGAAGTAGCTGTTATTTACTTAGTACATGGCATATCATACATGGACCAGCAATCTCTATTAACATTTCACCTAGATTAGTAAAACACAACAAAATATAAATGCTAAAAAGATCTATGTTCAAATGCCAGTGTCTATCTAACCATTGAAGAACAGCATCATTTATATATTTTAAAAAATCAGATACAAGACCGGTATACGGACTGGTATATGCCCTCAGTTTACACAATATGATCTACAGCAGAGATCTTCAAACTTTGCAACTTTAAGACTTGTGGACTTCAATTCCCAGAATTCTGGGAGTTGAAGTCCACAAGTCTTAAAGTTGCCAAGTTTGGGGACCCCGATCTACAGTTTGATGTGGGACCCCATAGCCAAACTACTCTATAGACTTTCCTGGCTCTCAAAATACATGGCAATGAAGCAGATGTTTTCACTATTCAGACCAAGATCAAATACATTCTAATTCCAAGAGATGCCAAGCAAATTTATCTTGGAGAGTTCCATGCAGGATACAAGTGTCAGACTTTCTCACTCGACAAAGTGTGATAATCAGAAACAGTACCAGTGAATGTTCATGCTTAATTTCAATACCGTGACTAGATATTAGAGACCACTGGGTTGATTGAGAGGGGGGAGAGGGGACAGACTAAACTGGACAAGCATCAATTGTTTAAAAGCTACAAACCAGCTGCTGACCAGGTCATTTGCTTACTGAAATTCCAAACACCACAATTCTAAACGGAATTGTTTAGATACAGCAAAAAATAAATACAGCATACAGCAAAAAATAAAATAAAAATTATAAGCCTTTAGCTATAAATGTGCAGCTTCATTTTTATTCTGTGTTGTGTACTTCTTCTCTCCTTTTAAAATAGCAAATTAATGCTTTTTGGGGCTCTGGACAATGTTTTTTAAATATCAGTTTCTTGAGGCTAAATATTACAAGAGTACATATAAAGGAAAAAACATTTCCTGATGATGAAAATGCAGAGGACTCAGATCATGATGATTTCATTTCTTGCAATATACATATTTGACATTTCTTAATGCAGATCATTGAGCAATATGTATTCATTGAGAGCTTCTCCTAAAGGTTTAAACTACAATTTCTAACTATAACAATTTTAAAACTAAAGTCCAGAGCACTAGGAGAAAAAGTTTGCAGAAAATAGGGGTGGAGGAAATATCATACCAGTTCCTATCATTAGTAATTAAAAGAATTGCAAGTGGCAAGTCAACCTGTCTGAAAGTTATTCTGATAACTTTCTGGGAATCCCAACAGAAACTCTATGGGCTAATAGCAGTTTTCTTAGGCAAAGACTAGTCCACCAGATGTGAGCCATCCATTGAATATATCCTGGCAAACACTCACAAGATAGAATACCGTTTTGAGATCGATTCTGCTTTTGACTATGGCAAAGAAGGGATATTTTCCACATCCAAACCCCTCAAACAGAGACTCCTTGTAGTCTCCTTGTACTATCTATAATTTCTAAATTAAAGAGTAAGGAAGACAGTGTTGTTTCCTCCCAAATACAATTATCACTCTCTCATCATATTCAATATTCAAAGCTATGCTGTTTCTGATCATGGATGCATGGCCAGCCTTCCCCATGAATGTGACTGAAACCTCTTTAAAACTTTCAAGGAAGGTGTTTGGTTAGGGCAGTGAACTTTTTTATGATAATTACAACCTGTGTAAGCACCTGCTTTTCAAGGCTGCACTGAATGTCTTATCAATCAGTTCACTGGAATATTTTAACTTCCATTAGTAGGAGTTAACAGGAAGCTGTGATTTTTGAACAGAGGAAGGGAAGGGAAAGGACAGCATGGCTGAAGATGTTTTACCTTTTTATAAACCACTACACATATTTATTCAGTTAAGCTTTTCTATATGCTGCTTTTCTACTCCACACAGAGGCTTAGCATTAATTTATTGGTTGGTGATACTTGAATTTGGGTTGAAAGGGATTTTATTATGAAGCATGTGAACAAAAGATAAGTGTACTAGCATATATTACACTGTAATATAACAGAGGAATAATAAAACAGATAGTCCATGGTAAATAAAGATAGCTCATGGTGTGTTTGCTATATTCCAGAAGATTGATTCAATACAATTCAAATGCCCCGTCCATCTCTCTGCAGAAAAAGGATGGTAGCAGCAAAAGGAAAATACAAACAACACGGGAAAGAGGAACAAAAATATTAAAACCTCTGTCACAATATTAATGTTGCAGCTCAGTGTTTCTCAGACTTGGCAGCTTTAAGATCCATGGGCATACTGGCGTAGGAATTCTGGGAGTTGAAGTCCAAACAACTGCAATAGGGAAGCTTTAGCAAACTTTAATAATGGCCATTTTATTTTTCAGTCTCGTGGAATTTATCGTTCCCCATACCTTGGACCTGTAATGAAGTTTTATATCTTGGCCCCATAAACTAAGAAAATAAATGTTTTCTTGGTTGATCACCAATCCTCAGCTTCTATGCAAAATTAGAAGAAAACGTTCCAATGCCCAGCTCTTCACATTTATTTGTGTTAATTATACCTGGTATATTATCATCCAGTGACTCAGTTCTTAAACTCTTAAATCTGCTAAGTCTGTATAATTTGCTGTCATTTTAAAACTTGATACTCTTTAATCCACAGCAATTATAAATATATTTAAGTAAACAAGAATACCAATATAGAGCCTTACAAATTGTCATCCTTCACACTGTCTGTAAACTATACATTCTACTCTAGGTAAATTGCAAGCAATTAAAAATTAATGGGAAACCAAGTATTAGCAGGATTAGTACATCCACTGCAACTTACAGTAAATTCTGTTTCCATTCTAATTAAAAAAAAATATTGTGACATTTCAGAATCCTCAACTAAATGTTGCAAGATATGGCCACATAGCCTCCCACTGAGATTAATAAAACTTGTGCAACATTTGGAAACTACTTGAAATTGAAGCCACTTTTAAATAATTGGTAGAGAATGCCCAAAAGCCTAAGCATTTTGTCAGCTGCTTATTCCAGATTCTGTTCTCTTAAGTCACAACTATGTTTACAGATGCTTTTAGTGAAGAACTTTGACAAATGTTTTTCACCAGTTCAAAATAAAATTGCTAGTACTAGACGACAATTTCCAAGAAAATTAACCCAAGATGATTTACTGCAGAATAAGCCTATTACACGAAAGTACAATACGCGTTAGTGCCTATCATGTAAAGCAACGTGTTGAATGTAAGCAACACAAGTTTAAAGAAAAATATGCCACTTTTGGGAAGACAAAATATATAACAATAGGATAAGTTTTATACATTACTGTCTCTTGCCCACAAAAATAAAACAACAAAAAAGATAAGGTAAGATTTATAACAAACTCTCTTTTGTTTATTCTAATGCTGATAACATACTGTTTATACTTCAGATAAGAGTTGTTATTTGTCCTCCTTTCTTTATCAAATTTCCTTGCAATATTGCAAAAACAAAGTAGAGAAAGATTCATGGACTTGGAAAGTAATATATCCCTCATTAAGTGACTGGTTTATAGTGTTACACTCTGAAATAAAACTTGATCTCCAATACAAATTGCATGTCTGCCATGAATGGTACCTCAATTATGCTATGCATAGTCTCAATGCAATGGCTGCATACTTGGAAAAATAGGGCAAAAAATGAAATAGTCTATAGAAAAACAATTAAAATTCTATATTGTATGTAGGCTATAGAGATA